TTTTTTTTTTTTTTTCCCCCCCCCCCCCCCCCCCTAGAAAAAAACCTCTGGCTAGTGTAACTTGGTATACTCTCCCAGTTAACATACAGAACTATGTGAATATTCAAGTATTATCTAACATGCATGTATGTACATTTCTGTTGGAAACACCAATAATAGTTCTTATTTACTGGCTGATAGTTTTGTATGTCCTTTTTTATTTGGATAGCTTTGAGGTTTTAATTGTGGCTGAGGTCAGTTTGTATTTGGATATGAACTGTAATACTTGGCACCACTCAACTTTTTATAGAAAAAAAGCCTATTTTAAATACACTTGATACAAAACTAGGTTTATCAAAACATGTTTGTCTATTACAATTAACTCATTTCTTAAAGAAGTGTTATGTAGTTAGGAAATTTTCTGCTCACAGCTTCTTTAGCATTTTAGAGGTAGTAGATATCCTGATTCCTTCTTGACTCCTCAAAATCAAACTTCTTAAATTTTTTTTCCAGTTCCCAATTGTTCCTTAACTTTGGATAAGCAGGTCGCTGAAGTGAACATGAATAAAATAATCTCTAAGTTTCTGTGAAATGCATCACTGCTGTAAAAAGCTGGTTTATCAGTTACGCTCCATGTCCATAAGTAGTTACTTCAATCAGCACAGTGGTTTGATCTCTGCAAGATCTTGGCAGTGAGGAAAAACTATCTGTATATTCTTTTTGTACCACATTTATTTGACCTTAGTACAACTGTAGGAAATGTGGGCTTGAATTGTAAAGGTATTCATTTCAAAATTAGTTTTTAATATGTTTAAAAAAACCATTAAATTATTTCAGTTTAAATTAGAGGAAAATTTAAAATTGGAGAAGATGTTTTGTCTCCTTGTAGCCTCATACAGACCCTTCTCTGTGTCATGTAAGCTGTCCACAAATTGCAATACTACAAATGTAGTAGTAGTAGCTGTCTATGATTTACAATACTTACTGCATATGTGCCTTTTGTTTTGCAGGTCACCTTTCCCATCAGAGTCTTCTTTCTCCTGGGGGTGGAGATCTTGATTGTCACAAATGCTGCTGGGGGACTGAATCCCCACTTCCAAGTGGGGGACATCATGTTCATTAGAGATCACATCAGCATGCTCGGCTTGGGAGGGCAGAATCCACTGCGTGGACCAAACGATGAGAGGTAAGAAGGCATCAGCTGTGTTACCAATTAAGCCTTTCTTCCTCCAGCTGCAGGCGAGGACTGCCAGTTGTGCCTGCTGGCAAATACTTACTGGTTTGGCTCCAGGTACCCACGAGGCAAAAGTTAAAGCAATAACTGTGCGTGCTGTGCCACCTGCCCTGCCTTCCCCAAACACCCTTCCTTGGCTGTTGCTTGCTCTTACAAGCCTATGAGGAGTTTATACGCAAACGTCCAGAAGGTTTTGTTTTCTAAAAGTAGGCTTCTCATCCTTCTCCTGACATGGCCAGCTGTACCGTCTGCTAAAAAGACCCACTGCTGTCTCTTCTTGTCAGTCCCTTTCTCTGCTAGTTCCTCTTCATTGAGCAATCTGGTGGACTGTGGTGTCTCCAGCCTGCATTTGTCAACAGCTGTTTCTGGTGTGATGGAACTGATACAACAGAGGCTAGGCAGTAAGCTGATAGCAGAGCAAAGGTAAAACCTCTAAATCTCCTGATAACCACCCTTGTATCCAGGTCATTAAACTGGGATGCCTTTGTTAACACCATGTATTCACTGAAGGCATCAGTCTGATGAGAGGTGGTTGTCTTGGCAGCCTCTTGGGAGACCTCTAGATCTACGAGAGTGACCTGCTGCTGGCTGAGCTGGGAAATCAGGTTTCCTGTACTAGCTGTGTAGCAGGATTTTAATCTTATGGACTGTAAAGTGGGGCTTGTAACACATCCTCACCCCTGGACTGCAGTTGCCACCAGACATAGAGTTGGTTTGAGCAGGAGGTTGGACTAGATGACCTCGAGGTCCCTTCAAACCCAAATTAATCTATGATCCTAAAACCCTCCCAAGGCACCATCGGACTGGTAGGGTGGAAGGCAACCAGCACCAGCAAGGTCATAGCACTGAGAGGGGCATGCCAGGTGGCCCAGTGTTTACAAAAAGAAGCCCCTTGGGTCTCAAATGGGGCTAAAAAGAGCATGAGGACACATCCACTGCAGATTCAGGCTGAGCAAAGGAGAGCACATCAGGTATCAGGAAAGTCAACATGGAAGCAATAAAGATCCAGGGCTGTCAGAGCCTTATGGCAAGAAAGAAAGAGGCTAGGTTGTGATAAGGAGATAACAGTAGCAAGAATTATTTCCTAACCAAGCTGGCAGGAGAGAAGCCAGATGAAAGCCAGATGTGTGAAGCCAGAGGACAGGCAACGGAGGTGGTGAAGGAAGGAGGTGGTAGTTTATGAGCAAAGAGTGAGTTTAGGTAACAAGATGGTTAAATTTGTTGTTGGGTTGGTACCTTCACCTTGAAAAAAGGACGTGTTTGCAGGACAGGCATCTGGACTGTCCTGGGATCTTTCCAAAAAGAAAGCTCTGGCTGAGAGTAAGGTGGTCTGCCTGGCTTCCAGTTACAGTTAGTTCCTTCCTGATGTAATGCCAGACCTGGCTCCTGCTACTGAAGAAATCTGAAAGGTGCTAGCAACTGCCTCACGAGAAATAAACATTGTTCTGTCATTCAAATGGCAAGAGGACAGTACCCATCTGAAGTGGAACATCTTTACATCTTCATAGGTGTTGGTGTGGGTTGCAGGAAAGAACGATCAAAAGCACAGAAGCCACATGGAAGAGTGTTTAAAGCTCTCTGGACTTGCATAATTGCTCTGGAACAGGAGGAGAAACACCAACCAAACAGTAACTGCATCTGGAAAACATTCAAAGGCAGCATAACTGTCTCATTGCCTCCCAAAAGCAGCTTCCTGGTGAAGACTGCAGTGCTCTGGGAGGTGACTTTTGTACTGCTGACCAAGGCATCAAAATGGGCAAAAGGTCTTTATGAATCAGCTTTGAAGTATTGCAGAGCTTTAGCTGAGCAAACTCCTCCTAAAATCTAGTGCAGCTCAGCCACCAGGAAGCATTTATCTAAGCACAGCAGAGTAAAACTAAAGGCAATGAAGTGATGTGGAAAGGGGATATAGTGCAAGAATCTGAGGACTGAATTTAATAACTTAGAGATTGGCTTCCGTGTTGCTGGCCATCCTTCAGGAAAGAGAAGCGATTTTCATGGTGATGAATACTTATTACCTTACACCAGATGGGAAAGTTTGTTTTTCATTTATATAACACTTCAGTGTTTGGAAATGTAAAATAAGCCAGCTACTGCCCTAAACATTCAGCTGGAAGAACATGAAAACAAGCAGGAGCTTTCATAGCCTAAATGAGGGACCTGGTCCATTCCTACCAAACTGAGTTGGTGAACATGGCTGGGAGTTTGCTTTCCAGATTTCTTCAGCAGCAGCACACCAGTCTTGGCCAGGTACTTCTGCTCTCCCTGAGTCAATAGTAGGATTTGCTCAGTCAGGAACAGGACTGAGCTGTTATCTTAAGATCCAAAGCAAGCAAGAGACCCAGCCTTGAAGCACAGGATGAAGGCTACCTAAAATATGGCCTTGGAGCTCCCACATATGCTACTCTCCCCATTTCCCTGCAAAAGAGGACACTTGGAATGGGATGTTATTGCCTAAATGTAGACATCTAATACCATCTGACACTCTGTGGAGTATCCAGTAACGGTTCTCCGGGGCTGGCAGTTGCAATATAAGACCTACAGGACGTGGGCATGCTCTGGATGGGCAGCTGAGGGGAAGGCAGAACTTACTGGGGCATCTCAAATGGGCAATTGGATTGCCCTTCTGTCCTAGAAGAGTCTCCAAGCTTGTGCTTAGTGTGATCTTGCTGTGCCAGGAACCAAATACAGAACTGGATGCTTTTCCTGTGATGTATTTTCTGACCAGCAAGATTTGTTCTTTTGCCTCCCCAAGAAAGTCATTCCTTGAGGCCCTTCGAACTGGTCTAATGTAGACAGTTAGGGAGAATGACTCAAGTCTCATGTGATTTGCCCGGTGGATCCAACTCTGTGTTTCTTGCTTCGAGTATGTGGATGTCAATGCGGGGATAGAACAGCCTTTGCTGTTGTGGCACAGGGCATCCCTGGCCATGAGCCTGGTTTAGTAGCTGCCTGCTGCAATGAGTCTTAAATGTAGCGACCAATGGTCCATCAGGCCCTGCTCAAACCCCGCACTGGGGACAGCCTTTGGGACTCGGTGCCACAGCGAGCCCACCTGCAAGCTGTTGTGCAGGAGAAGCGAAGGGCAGCAGCTGTCTGATGGACAATGTTTAAAAGTCTCAGTGGGCAGTTATTGGGGAGAGAGAGAACGGGCCATCAGTGCTCCCTGGAGACAGGAGTCCTTGGAAAGACCACTCCAGGAGGGTTTGTGCAGCAGGAAAGCGGTGCCAGACCTTCCAACAGCCATAACCTCTGCATGCTGAGGGTCTTGGGCGATTAGGTCTAGCAGGAATGTCATGATGGGAGAAGTATCTGATGATGAGGCCAGGATGAGAGAGATTGCATCTGTGGCTGGTCTGCCCTTAACATTTCCCTTTTCTCCAAAGGATGAGCATCTCTGAACTCTGATGGAGGGAAGGTAGTGGTAGCAATATCAGCGTGGCTGTGCCCTTTACTGCCTTGCAGGTTTGGAGTGAGGTTTCCCTGCATGTCAGATGCTTATGAACAAGATCTGCTCAGTCTGGCAATGGAGAGCGCACAGGAGCTGGGCTTTCTGAGCTTCGTCCGAGAAGGAGTGTACTGTCTGCAGGCTGGTCCCTCCTATGAAACTATTGCCGAGTGCCGTGCACTGCATGCGCTGGGAGGGGATGCTGTAGGTAAGCTGCCTGGGCTGGGCTGATAGGGTTGGTTGGGCACGTGGATTAAACAGTTCATTCTGCTCAAGGCTGACTTTCTTCTGTCTTTGACTCTTCATCTAATTCTCCTGGGCCTAGAGAAAGGAGCTCTGTGTATTTCTGCTTAGTTCTGCAGTGGCTTAGTGCGGCTCCTAGGGTGGATCTGCAGAAAGTCTCTGTGCTTATGGCTGCCCAGGGCAGGGATCCCAGCACAATGTTGTGTTTATTTCCCAAACACAAATCTCCCACGCTCAGATGGCTCATCTTCAGCAGGACTGAGTGGGGCCCAATCAGGAATAAAGTCCTTTTCTATTATTTTTAAAATTCTGACACTGTAAGGATTTTCACTGTGCCTCTTCCCTACAAAACAGCCCTCCATAAGAGTCTTGATTGTTTAGGGATGGTAATTATGGATACCTTCCCAACTCCATATGAGGAAGGTAAGAAACATGATCCATAAGATTCCTCCAGCTTGACTCCTGGCTCGTGGAAGTCTGTTCATTAATATCTGCAGATTTATTGTGCGTGAGGAAAGGAGCTCAGCTTCCCACAAAGCCGTTTTTCTTTACGATAGCTTTTTTAGCTGAGGAAGAGAAGAGCCAAATGACACAGCACATCAGTACTTCTCTTAGCAAGGCTGCAAGCAGTCTGACACGTCTTTGGGAGAGAGACACAGCATGCAGGAATCAAAAGTGGAAGGTTTATTGTGCTGAGCAGGGTTGTAACTGTGGTGCTACAGCTATTACAGCCTTACAAGTATCGCAGCCTTTAACTATTACATAGCTCAGAAAGAGAGGGCTGTGGGGGGATGAGACAAGGGCATGCGCTGAAGGTAGGATGTGGTTTGCAGCCTTGGAGAGATCTTGGTTTTGTGTAAATCCTAACTCATCCTGGTCCTTTCCTCTCCTACCGTAGGCATGAGCACTGTCCCAGAAGTAATTGTAGCCAGGCATTGTGGCCTCCGAGTCCTTGGGATCTCCCTCATCACCAACAAAGTGGTGATGAACTACAACAGTCAAGAGAAAGCCAACCACGAGGAAGTGCTGCGCATCTCGGTGGTCCGGGCTGAAGCCCTGCAGAAACTGGTCACGCACCTCATTGGCAAGCTGGGGGAAAGCACAAACTCTCCGTGACCTCCAGCCATTTATCATTCATATCATAACATGTGAACACTAGTGAGTGCTGGGGGAGAGCTGTCAGTGAGACTCTCCCCTTCTGCTCTCCTGATTTTGAATAGACCTTTTGATCTTCGTCCCTGTGCTTTAGCTGGTCAGGCGCAGAGGTTTGCTTCGAGTTTTGCCAGAATGATCCCCTTGTTAGTAGCCAGTGACCAAAACAGCTTTCTGGCACTTAAACAGAGTCTGACCTCTGACAGATTCCCAAACCCATATGTCAGCAATGAGCCCCTTGGTACCATGAGCTCCAGCTCCCCCTCATTCCACTGAGAGCATTTGGTGTTTCTTGTGCAGCCTCTCTCAGCTCAGCACCCTCCTGCCCCTGAGTGTCTGCTCCCTTCTTGTGCTGAGCCCCTATGCCAGGAGCCAGGTCAAGAGCTGGTCGCAGGCCTTGGTGCCCACTGGGCATGTTTTGGTAGGGCCTGATCTGAAGCTAGTGGAAGTCCACAAAAAGGCTCTGAGTTTTGGGTGAGGACCTGGATACATAAAATGGGGTAGGCTAAAGATGAGATCTGTCTGGAACAAGCAATGCTGCAGAGCAGGTGAATTGCAATTGATTTTAGAGCTTGGAAAGCCACTGCATCCCAGTGCATGGGGTTGTGTTCCCTTACCATCCTAGGTGGTCTCCCCAGAAAGCCCTCTCTTTGCTCACTTCTTGGCTCTTCATGACCAGCCACAGAGCTCAGTAGCTGTTTGCTACAATGCAACTTGCCCCCCAACACCCCTTCACACCTCTGCTCTGTTTCCAGCCTTGAATCACTATTGCCCTATTTAACAGTGTAAAAGTGCAGCTCAGGCACGAGGCATGACTTGTCGATTCATGGTGTGAGCGTGGCCAAGCTGGAAACAGGATCCAGGTCCAGCTCTGCCTGGGTTTGTTCCTTCTGTTTCTGGATGTCTTGGAGATCAGCAGCTTGAGCCACTTACACTGGAGACCACTTACCTTTTGGTGTCCCAGGACAGAGAGATCAGTTTGACCCAGAGTTTCACCCCAGTTTTGCTCTGCTGGGGGGAGATGCAGCAGATGTTCGGGCACCAATGGTTTGTGGAGTTTAATGAAATGAAATTACAGTGGAAATTATTTTGGAACAGATATGATATTTTTCTGAATTTCCTGGTCCTCTTACATGAAGAAATTGAGCCTAGCAGTGAGTAAAAGACAAAGAGGAGAGGCCACCATGCTCTCTTTTTACCAGTATGCTGATGGTCTGTCAAGGAAGGGCAACTATTCACCAGAACGGTACATTATTTATTGTTCCCTAAAGGTCAAGCTGAGCCATGGATGTAGCTGGATGTGAAACAGTGACTGTAATTATTAGGTAACCTTTTTCCCTTCATTTATCTTGGAGCTCTCTATAAAGCCTATCACTGTCATAGCTAAATGTTTTCAGTTGACACAGTGGTCTGAACTGAAGACACCCAACTGGTCATGGAGAGCTCCCAATCTGCCTTCCTAAATTTAGCTGATCAGTTGTTTTCCATTGATGGTCGCCCTCCGTCACAGCCTTCAGCTTTCCATGACATTTCTTCAGCTCCAAGCGCAAAAGGATGTTGTGGCCTGGTGAGTTTTTTCCGGATTGGCATTTGCTTGAAGCCCTTCATGCTGCAATCATTGGTGTCAACTGCTGTATTAATGGTGCAAATGTTGCCACCAGGAGGAACAGAGCTGTGCTGTGCAAGTTTTCCATGAAACGGTAGCATTTCAGGTGTAGAAGAGATCTTGGGGTGGCTGCTGTCTTCTTCTCTTCTCCTGAGCAGTTACCTGTGGGCAGTCCAGACAAATATCTGCCCAGCCTAGTCTTGAGGACTTCTGGAGGGGGAGGATTCGTTGGCTGCGCTCTACTGGCTGAGTCACTTGTTCAGCAGCTCCTGAAACTTGGAGGAGCCCTCTGAGACAGCAGCTCTTTCCATTTGATGGGTCTGACTGTCAAGACAGTCTCAGGGACCAGCTCTGGTGGTAATATGCAAAAGGAACTCCAGCTCCTTTTGCCACAAGGCTATTGCCTTTTCAGGTCTAGCAGGAATGAAGTGCTCATCAACGGTGGCAGCAAAAGCAGTGAAATATGAAAAGTGTCAGATGTGCAGAGCAAGAAGGAACCACTTCTACCTGCTGCCTTTTCAGACTTGTCCCAGTATGGGCTTGTTACAGGGCAGAGAGAGAGCAGATAATTTCCCCTGCCTAGAAAATGGTGCTTCACATTCATCTAATTAATACTTGGTAAATACAAAGTCTCTCAAGTGTGAGTGGAAGACAGCTGTGCTGCTAGCTGTAGCTAGAGAGCAGCCAGAGTAGCTAAGGCTGGGATTTCAGCAGGCTCCATTATTTAATCAGAGTCAGGCTGGACTGCAATGTGAAGAGAAGCATCCAAAAAACCTGCTGTTGTGCTGGTGCTTCTTAAGCCAGGCTTGAGATGATGAGGAGCTTGGCAGCAGCACCTGCTTTCAGTAGGCTGGGTCTGCTCCTCTCTCCAGCTGTACCAGAGGCAGAGTGTGAAACCTATACATGCACTTGTATCTCGATACAACTTAAAATTTAATCTGAAAATCACCCTGCCACTAAATCTTTGGCAAACTATGTCTGTTTTTAAAGAAATATTTTTCTAAATAGCATTTGAGCCCTTAAACAGTGGGGGGCTCTTCTTTCTGCTGTCCAAGGTTGACTTGGATGGCTCAAACTCTGCATGAATGTCCTGATTTTTGCCCCTGTAAGTGATGAAAGGGAAGATGCCCTGAGCACCTTGGAAGTGATCTTGCTCATGCTTTGGGGGAGAGAAGGGGAGTACAATTAACAGGTGGGTTCATCTGATTTTGGAGATACTTTTAATACAATTTGGGGGGGGGGGGTTACTGCTGCTGAGTTTCAAAAAGCTGAAAGGCAATGATGCAAGGGCGGGGAAGATGTGTAGGGAAGAAACAGGGAGGAAATAAAACCTGCTGTGATCCTGAAAACAGTGTTTTTGTTTGCTGTGCCAATACCATGAGCTAGAAAGGAGTCATTTAGCTGTACGCCCTGCATCCACCTCCCAGGCTGGAGGACAGCCCTGGGGGACCAGAGCACCAGCGCCCAAAGCTCAGGATAATTGGGACCAACATTTGACCAGCACTTTGCACAGGTATTTCTTACTGATCCCACTGGGCTGAGGAACTCTCGGAAAAAAAGACCAAGAACCAAAGGACCTCAACTAATTTTTGAGCAGCTGAAAGGTATGATGGGCTGTGGTGGTGACAGTGCAGCAAGTCGTCTGTGCTGGAGGCAGGACATGGTTTCCTTGATGCTGTGCATTTCATTTAGTGCTCTTAGTGGTCTCTGACAACATCCATGGCTGAAATGAGTAGATCATAACACAGCCTTGGCTTATTTTCACTCCTGTACTCTGTGCCATTTATCTGCTTCTGAAATTCAGGCTGTTATGGTCATAGGATAAGCTGTAAGATGCATGAAAAGCTTAAAACAAAACAAAACAAACCACCCTAGCAAGTAGAAAAAGAGAACCCCAAATTGCATGACTGATCCTGACTTTTTCAGGGCTATGGTTAGCAATGAGCTCGGGTGCTGCCTGGTTAGCGAATGCCACCAGCACAGGGGGTCCCATGCTGCCATACCTGTGGCAGGGGGACCCATAGCAGACCTGTGTTAGTGCGGGGCAGAGCTGGCACAACTCCTTTACTCTCTCACAGCCATGGTTTCATGAGCCAGTCCTTTGTACTAGCCCTTTCTTTTTCCTTACTCATCAGTCCAGAGAAAAGTTTTCAAGTCATGGGGTCCTGCTGCTTGCAGTCCCCTGGAGAAGATGGAGATGTTATATTGATGCCCTCATGTGTGACTCACATAAAGGTGTGATGTCAAGAGGAGAAATCTCTGATACAACCCTTGGCTGGACCATATCATGAGTTTATAAGCAGAGATGTCTGCTGTTGTCTGAGAAACAACCCTGCAACCTCCCCCCAAAAATCTGAGTGTGCGATCCATCCCGTTTCCTTTGCAAGGCTCGGTTTCCCAGACTCTTTCTTTTATGTGAGATTCGCTGTTTACACTCTTTTCTACATAAAAGTAAACGAAAAAGCTTTTTAAAAACCTGCTATCTGTCTCAGCTCAGCAGCTGAACATATGCTTTGCCTTCAAGTTATCAAAATTCCTTTAGACATTTCTCTTAATTCTCTGCAGTTGAATTAAGGGGTTTCTGCTATGGTGGTAGTGGTGGTGTGGTGTTTTGTGGGGGTTTTTTTCCAAAATCTTTAGGTCTTCACTGCAAAGATTTCATGTGCTGGGAAGAATTAAACTCTTCCCTGCCACGCTGAATACGCAGAGCAAGAGGGAGCGATGCAATGCAGGTCATGGCAGTGAGCCGATCTCAATTCCTTGCCGAATTAAAGCCTCACTCTGTAAGCAGTGTGAGGGTCTGTTATTTCCGAAATCTGATGGCACTTTGAGATAGGACTTGGTTTAAGAGCCAGGACGTTGGCAAAGCCTGAAGGGGACCACCCAGCCTTTTCTCCTCCAGAGAGGACATCCTCTCCTGCCGTGCCTGGAGCCTGGACACCTATGCTGGGAGATGGCTTTTAACAGAACGACCACCACTTGCTTTCCTCACCCAAAGCTTCACAGCCCTCTTTAAAACTCTCTTTCTCAATCTTAGCAAACCCCTTCCTGGAGTAATGAGCCCTTCTTGCCCCACCAGGTGCTTTGCAGAGGTAGCTCGAGGAAGTGTTTCCCCAGGGACGGCAGGGAGTGGGTTCAGGGCACGGCCGGAGCCCAGATTTTGCTCCCAGGTACCAACTTGGAGCAACCTGGGGTCTTCATCAGCAGAGAGGTGGGTGTCCTGGAGCAGTGTGACAGTGCTGGGTTGTTGACCCAGAGCCATCCCCACTGTGGGCTGAGGCTCTGCTCAGCACAGAGCAGATGATGGACCAGTGCTGGGGACCCGACACTCCCCTGTGCCCCTTCTCCTGCAGCTTGGGGACACATCCCTGAGCCCAGCCCCACAGAGGCAGTGGGTGTCCATTTTCAGCCCCCAGGAAAACTTTGCTCTGGAGGGAGGGGGACGGAAAAGCAGTGGAGTCTGCTGGGGAAAATTGTGCTCCAGTAATGGGAAAAGGAGGCTTTTTGGGGACTCATCTCCATGCCAGACCCCAGGAAATGTGAACTGAATACCTAGGATGCCCTTCAGTGCCTCTGTGCGTGCTTGAAGACTGCGTTGTGTGGCAGGGAGGAGGAGAAGGGCATCCTGCTGCTCCGTGTCCCAACCTGGCTCTCCCTGTGGGATGCTGACACAGCATCTCCCTTCCCATGCCTGGAGTCTGGCATCCTGCCCTGCCCCAGCTCCTCATGGCCTTAAAACCAGGCTTGGGGCTGTCTCCATTGCACTGAGCTCCCCCAGTTCCCAAGCCTGCTCCCCCTGCAAATTGGGGGGAGCACCTCGCACCCCCTTTTCTCCCAGTGGAGAGACAAAAACAAGAGGCAGCAGCAGCCAGAGGGTGGGCAGTCCCCCAATAACTCCCTGCAGCTGCCTGCCACCACTCCATCCCTGCTCTGCACATGTCTGAACTTTCCTGCCTTCTTCTCATCTTTAATTAAGCACTTCTATCGGCCAAGCCTTCTTGCTGGATCTGAATTATGGTTTTTTTCCCCTCGTAGCCGTGGCAACGCTTCCCCTGGGCAGGCTGTGCGGGAGCCAGTGACAAACCCCACGTGTGGCTGTTTGTTTGGGCCTGGAAATTTCCCTGCTGTTTGGGAAAACTTGGGAAAAGAAAATCCCCCGATGAAATGGCGGGTGGCAAGGGGAGCCCGGGTGAGAAACATTGCTTTTTGGGATGAACATCACTCCCATCCCTCCAAGGAGGCCCCCTCCAGCAGGGATGGCAAAACCTCAATCCAAGGGTTCCTTGGGTTTTCCTCCTGCCGTGGTTTAACCCCAGCCAGCAACTAAGCACCTCCAAAAGACAGGCACAGTGTCCAGGTTTCACATCCTTGCCCCAGCCGTGTGTCACGGGTGACAGCCCTGCTGTGGCCATTGCACGGTTCCTCGGTGGCGGTGGCACTGGGACTGCCTCCGCCCTGCTCATCCTGTTAGGACCAGCAAATCGTGAGCCACAAAGCTGCCATCAGGAGCCCAGTGAGGCGGGGGGGGGGGGGGGGGGGGAGAAGGCACACAGATGCAGTGACACAGGGCAGGGACACGGTGACGGGTAGGGCTGGGTGATGTGGATGAGGGCTGGGTGGCACAGGAAGGGATGCAGGGACTTGGGGAAGGGATGCAGTGATAGGCGGGAGGAGGTGGCCGGCCAGGGCAGGGTGACAAGGCAGGGCTAGGTGTCAGGACAGGGGTAGGTGACATTAGGCAGGGCAGGTGACACAGGGCAGGGGTAGGTGACATAGTACAGGAATAGGTGGTATGGGGCAGGGGTAGGTGATGGGGCAGGTGAAGTCAGGCAGGGCAGGTGACAGGGCAGGGGTAGGTGACATGGGGCAGGGATAGGTGATGGGGTAGGTGACGTCAAGCGGGGCAGGTGACATAGAGCAGGGGTAGGCGACATGGGGCAGGGGTAGGTGACGTCAAGCAGGGTAGGTGACATAGCGCAGAGGTAGGTGACAAGGCAGGGACAAGTGGCAGGGTGCAGGCTGTCCCCCACGGTGCCCAGTGTTGCCCCTGCCGGTCCCGGTCTCCCGGTGCCCGCTCCCGTGGCGGTGCCGGTGTCCCGGTGTCCGGGTGTCCCCGTGTCCCGTCCCCCCCCCGCGATGCCGGTGTCCCGCTGCCCGCCCCC